TGAAGGATTCTAGATCTTCAACTTGCATTTGTTTTTGTGGAAAAGGAGAATCGAAAGGATCTAGATCTGGCAAGTATGGCGGGTGATGAGTGATGACTGTGCTTGTGTGGCCAAAGTTCAGTTTGTGTGCATTGGTGTACAATTGACACGCACCACAGGTCATGAGTTTGCACTGGATGCTCTCCCTCAGGCTCCTTATTCAATTACTGCTGAAGCCCTCAACAGTCGGCCTGATCTTGGGTTAAATGTCCTCCTAAAAAAAACCCCAAAAAACAAAAACCCCAAACCACCCAAAAGCGCGGGGGGGGAGGGAAACCCCCCAAAATAAACAAAAAACAACAAAAACCCCAAAGAGCTTACTGCTGATCACGGATCTCACCATGGACACTGTGTACTTCTACTGAAAATGGCTCATATTAGTAGTGACAATCCTTGACATAAAGGTTGTGTCAGCTTGCCACAGAAGTCTGCACAAGTTTGAGATCAAAGGTGGAACTCTTGATGCACACGTGTGAGGTGTTGGAACATGACTTTTCAGGTGCATTGTAATAAAAGTAGCTTTGCTGGAAGCAAAGAACAACAAGAAGACTTTGAGGGGAGATTGGGAGTATTAGAATCAGGTGTTGTTTATTGGGTTTTTGTGAGTACAGTGAAACTTTATATTGGTTTTGCTTCCTATTGTGTTAAAAAAAATACAGTTTTAATGGCTATATCTTCCACTTGAATCCATACCGTGGTAAATTAGTGACTAGGAAATATATTAAATCCTATGTATTTTATTTACTCACAAGTGTCATAATGTCAAAATATGTTTTTAGCTTATCTGATGAATTTATGCCGTGACAGCGCCTCTGGAGATTTGTCAGTCTTCCCATACAGCCACATGTCACAAGAATCGCTACTCCTCCTGGTCAGAATCGAATCAAACATAGACACGGTGATCACCTAACAGGTCTTCATCCAAACCGTGCTTGGCATTTTACCTGCAATAACCTGCAAATTGTGACGGATCCTGATCCTTATGAGTTATAATACTGCGTTATTGCTGTTGTGGCTTTGTTTAAGTGTATAGGATCATTAACCAACCATGGCACAGCAGTGGGTTACCTCACAGTGGTATTGTCTCACTGTCCCTGAAACCATGTTACAAGTGTGAGTCTGTCTGGCTTATTGTCAGAGTAACATAATAGTGCACCATACAGATTATAGATTTACTTTTGAGCATCATTTCCTTTGATACTGGAGGGTTGTGGTGACAATAGCTTTGGACATGAAGAGTAGTCTGAGACTGCTGCTAAGCAGATCTTTAGTAGCCTTAACTGCTGTGGTTTCTGTGCTTTGATGTAGTCTAAAGCTTCAATTAAATGTTGCTTTGTGAATAAGGACATTCGTGTTTGATGAGGAAAACGTTTTTGTGCCATTATAAAACACATCATTTAAAAGCTGAAGTGGAGCATAGAAGTGACCGTTTAAGTACATATCAGATGAAAAGTAAAAATCATTGTCAATAATTTCCAGTACTTTTCATCTAAGAATAATCAGATTGTCACTTACAAATATTGCAGACACTTCCAGGAACTGATACTCCCCCTTTTGTCTTTTTTTTTCTTCTTTTTTTTGGTCTCACTTGTGTGTTTCTTCCCTTTCTTTCCCCTAGGTGTTTGCGTGTGAATCCTAAAGGTCTGGATGAGGAAAGCAAAGACTATTTATCACTTTACCTCCTCTTGGTTAGCTGCCCAAAAAGTGAAGTGCGTGCCAAGTTTAAGTTTTCTATCCTCAATGCCAAGGGAGAGGAGACCAAAGCCATGGGTAAGTCAGAATCACCAGGCCCTAAACAATGGCAGTCAGTTTTATTTATATAGCCTTATGGCTCAGTCAATATAGGAAAACCTCCTTGGACTGGAAAAAAAAAAATCGTTGATTTGTGAATGTTTTCAAATTTGGTGACTGATTTCAAGTAGGCGTGACGACCTGTTGGCTTACCAGAGAGTTTTAGGTGACTCCTTTTGGTCACAAGGTGATTGCACAGATCACTTTGTAGAAGAAAGCCTGTCTCCAAACAGTCACAGTCTGACTCAGACTGACTGCAGCCACATTCAGACAGATTGACGAAGAGCGTGGAATTCCTTTTTAATTCATAAACACAGACAGATTGCAACACATTGCAATCAATCTGAGCTGGTCTACCTGGGCACAACTCATCTGCGATGCATCTCTTTGCAATAAGACACCAGTTTTGCCAACTGGTTGCATTTTGGCTATATTCCTATAAAAGCATAGTCTGCAGTTAAATGGCCAATCTCTAGCAACTATGTCAGTATTTGTGGAGGGATTTCTGAATGAGGTTCTGGCTATACTCCCAATTTAAGTTGTTAGTGTGAATTTCTGTGTATGTAGATGGCGACATATTTGCAATTTTCACTGATCTAATTGATCACCATTAAATGCCATTGCTGCTTGACCCCATTCAATCGCAAACTGAGACTAATAGCTGACACAGTCAAGTTATT